TATGGGAGAAAGTATGTGTCAGAATGCTGATACCGTTTATTTGTAATGTACCTCAAACATATCTATCAGCTCATTGAAAATCTCAAACTATACCCTCAAGTGATTAAACTATTTTAGTGGGCTTTTTACAGAAAATGTATCGACAAACAGATTTGGACAGTTTGGTAATGAGGATACCAAATTGGTAAAGATAAGAAATATTGGATTATAAGATTATAGTAATTAGGTTTGATCCTAAACTAAATTGTGACTAAAATGTAGCTATGAGTTGAAATTGTGACGTAATGCCTCTAACGACGTACGCCAAAACTCAATAAAAAAGCATTTATCGATGTTTGTGAAATGCACCGGTGATGTTTATAACACGAGATTGTGGTTGAATTGCCCAACTGACCTGTCCAGTGTCAGTGCTTGTCAGGTAAATGAATATCGTTCATCATAACACGAGACTGACGCTTTCACACAACTTGATTAAGTTTAAATTCATCTCGTAGGAATCAAGTGTTGGCCTTTCTTAGTGTTAACTGTGTAAAGACAGGTAGTCAGAATACGTAAATGATTTAATTGACGATTGTGTTTTTGTCACATTGCTACTGGAGTTCGGATTTAAGTACATACTTGCTGGCTATAGTCCGTGTCAATTATTAGTGGACTTACAAGCCTATATTTATTTAGTAGTTAGGATATGAAAAATATTTCAATTTACTAGCTGTTCGGTAATTGAATTAATCACATTGAAATGCAGTGTACACTTTTTAACCTTGAGCTAACATTGAGGTTCATGTCTTTGAAAAGCACATATTGGGAACGATTTAAGGGTCATGATAGAAATTTCCGTTTCAATTTTAAGGAAAAAAATATGTTAAATAGGCTAAATGAAATTTTCTATTATGCCCATCAGTATCAAGTTGATTTGGAATATTTCAAAAAGTATATCGATCCTTGTAAAAACCTGTTATTATCTTTTTTACAATGTCTAATTAATTTATTCGATTTCTTATGTCGTAAATTGAATAATACCTTTGACTATTAATTCAACAACTAATACCTGAAAAAAACATTACTCACAAATTCAAAACCTAATACTATACAAAAATGAATGCGTAAAGTGTTCATTGAAAATAAATAGTGATTTACCTTTGAATGACTTTGCCCTGAAACATCAATCCACATACGTTATTATTGAGGTTACAGTCGTCCGTTTTAGCGGTTCTTCAACCAATATTGTGGGATTACTCATTATCACACCGATTTTCAATTTATTGGTCATCTACAAGCTATTGCCAACAATTACACAAGCTATTGACAAGCTATTGCCAACAATTACACAAGCTATTGACAAGCTATTGCCAACAATTACACAAGCTATTAACAAGCTATTGGCAGAGTCTTTATTAAGTACGAGTAATAGTTTCGTGCTGGAGTCTTCGTTTAAATTACTTTGACAACACTAATTGATAAATTCAAAAATATGCTACAATTTGAAGATTTTTATATGCTCAGGTATTATGAAATGAAATCAAATGAAAAATCATTTATTTACACAGGCAAAAACATTAAAACGTTAGGGCCACATGGCCCTTTCTTACACTTAACTTGTACTTTAAAACATAATATAAATATTTTAACATAATCAGCTTATACAAAAAAAAAAAAAAAAAAAAAACACAGAAATCATAGATACAGAAACTTTTATCAAAAATCAGTAAATTTTAAAAATACTTACACACACACACTCACACATACACACATACAAGTCAGCGACCGCCATGCTCACAGGCCCCTACGACAAACCTACCATGGCCATACGTTCAAAATAGAGATTTTTGCTGCCACAAACCGGGAACGACTATCGAGGGATTCATATGCTTTTTATATTATTATGCATAATTTTGTATTTAGTAAAGGTGTTTCCATATTTTTGTTTCTTTGGTTATTAGTTGGTTACATCTCTGAACCCAACTGCGTGAGTCTGCGGGTGTACTGTATTTTACTCTGAGTGACAACCCTACCCCACGCTACCTTTTGGTGGTGCATGTTTAAAACATCAAAAATATTATCTTTTTTTACGCACCTACCGTTGTTTATGTCCTAAGGTTCATAAGTAAATAGCCTTTTTTCTTGTATAGGTGAAACTAAAATTAAAGTCGTGTAGAACTATCCAAAAATCATTTGATAGCCACTATTATATGCTCAATCCCAGGATTTGTTCTCATAGTCTGCTTGAGAAAGGTTCCGAGAAGGAAAAATATAGAAAGGTTTTGGTAAATTTTAAATCCAAAGGAGAGTATTTTACACCTCAAAACAAATTACAAATGTTTAAACTTTCCGAACCCTTTTAGTAGAAAGGTAAAGGCAAATCAAGTTGTATTGATGTTTTGTTGTTTGACGACCAACAATAAACACAAAATAGTACGTGAATCTATGGGATATTCAAAATTATCCTCATAATTAGCAAACCATTCAGGAACAAAATCAATAACCGTGTAGGAAACTTAGTCAAGTGACTCTTAAGACTTGCGAGAGCTGAGGGTATCCGCTTCTGAATTGTCCTCTTTGTCTTAACTTGGCCAATTAATATAGTTCCAATATGGAGTGTTAAAGGATCTAGGTCGATTAAAGCTTTGTAGTTTTGTACTGATTTAGTTGTCTAGTGTAACGGATTAAAAAAATTTCCTTATTTCAATTCTAACTAAATACAGGTTGTTATTCTAACGTCAGTTAAAATTTTTTACATATTATTGCCACTGATTTTGTACCTTGTGTGAAGTATAAATTTATTATGATAAATAGTTAATGTTACTCATATTACCACCAACTTTCTGATGAATACTAGGGTAGACATCCCATAAATATGTATTAATTATGGATTAGCTTTAGTCAACTTTCGAGTAAAATTAAACATTGTTCAAAAAGAATCTTACAGAGTGGGTTGCTGTCAAAATTAAGTTTCTATGTTTACATATACCCTTACAGATATCCTATCAGAAAAATAATCAGTTTATGTTATGTTAGAGTCTGTGGTAATCTGTCGGTAGTTATTTTCATTATGTCTACTTATATTCGTAGACTGTATTAGTATCTGTTCCGCAATATTTTAGTCCAAATTAACCGTATTGGAAGGCTTAAAATAAATTGAAGAAAACACTGCTGTACTATATGTCTAACAGAAACAAAAGTTAGTTCCTTGCAAATCCAAAACTAGCTGAAGCTGCGTCCTTCTTTAAATAATAGTTTAAGTCAAACTATCTATAGTAGATGGTTGAGTTCAGCTACACTTTTCCTGTGTATCTACTGGTGATAGAGTAGAGAATAATTTGTAAACAAGGAGTTTCTCGCCGTCGAAGTATTTGCGTTCAACGACATCACCGCCGTGGACAGACCGAAAGACTAATATTTTGTTTTCGTAATGAAAAACGTGACCTGCCGTTAGGACTGACAGCCTTAGATAAAGAGGAATGCCTTGAAACTTTTTCTCGTTTTAAATGCAATTAACTTTAAACACGTTTAATTTGTAAATATACGGTTGAACAAGAATATTTAAACACATTTCCATCAAGTTTAACGCTTTTCACGGTAAGTAATAATCTCATGTAGGCTACTGAACTCCTTTAGGAGACCTTATGGATTTTTAAGTAATTTATCTATAATATATGCTGATTTCATAGCAATAAATGTGCAAACTCCCAGATAACGGACTTACCATATTTAACAATACAATATTTTACAATATACCTACCTAAGTGGGTAACCTCAACACAGGGTTCCCCCTCAAGAGGTACCTATATTTTCCACAAATGTTTGTAAAGCTTGTATGTACAATTTGTAAATATGGAAAATAAACAGATTTCTTTATTTCTTTCTTTCTTTTCTTTCTACATTTTTTTTACGGTAGAAGGTACAATAACGGTCACACGTTTTCAATTGCTATAATAACTGTTCAAGCATCTCATGAACAAATCAAACCACTTCAATAAAATGTTTGTAAACATAGTTTAGAACAGAAGATGCCGAGTTTATTTCGTAGTTCTTGATGACACATGTATAGCGAGTATATCATGCAAATTTAGATCGACAAACCAGTTTTATTCCAAAGAAACGACGACCTTCAGACAAAACTGTATGGTGTTGAGTCATATAGATTACAGGTTATACTGTACGAGTAGTGCTTTGGTAAATTTTTTTTATCTAATAAGTAGCAATTTTGGAAAAGCTTACAAACAAACAGATAAACTGTGGGCAGGTTTTCAAGTGAATTATAACTCACACTTCGACGTTTTTAGCCTATGGATTTCAGACACTCCTAGTATAATTTTTGTATATTTGTATATTTTTTAGTATACCTTTTGAAAATTTTAAATCTGGTTGGTGTGTGATCCATATGAGTGCGTATTTTGCATAAACTTAACCTATATTATTTGATGGTGATTTTTCAGCGAGTGATTTATGCGATGGTCAGAATACCAAACAATGGAACAAAATTGATCGTTCTATTAGGTTGAAACGATTTCAAAATAAATACGTAATCAGATTGTAGTGTCGAGACGACAGGGTACTTAAGTCATTTTTAGGTGACGATTTAAAGTAATAAGCCGACAGTTTTGTCTCAAATATCAGCTGGTTCTTATCCATGACCATATAGCTCAATGATCAAAGACAGCTGGTTCCCGTTTCAAACTGTGAAAAAAGCTTCTGCTATTTGAAAATTGAACCTGCGATCTTCTGATTAAAAGGGAGCATTCCGGCTGTATTTCAATAATAATTAGAGTACGGCAACTTGAAATGCCCTCCAGGAGTTACGAAAAAACACCCATATAATGTGCATCAGCTGATCCATAAGAAATTAGCACTGCAAGGGAGTCTGTTTAAGTCACTGAATAAAACCCCCTCTAATGTCAAACTAAGACACCAGGTGGGGGTGGGTGGCGATCAGCTGATCATTCCCGCCGTTCTGCGACAGACTCCCGCCAGTTTGTCTCCCGTCACGTGCAGTAGTGGATGCACCGACTCGTCTAGTGGAACTTCGCCCTTGGATAACACGAGAGGGTGAATATGTTTTTTTTCTATGAATAAATCTTGAGATAATATTCTTAACTACGTTCTTATAATTTTTTTTATCCTTATTTAAACCATATTTAACTGATAAATTAATTTACTGTAGTATAAGTTTACTGTGTATCCATAAATTGAGAATACGATGATGAGGTCTAAGAGGGTACAGGGTTATTACAGGATATTCCCTTTCACGATATCCACTAAAGGTCCTGACTATCGGCCTGTTTCCAAATTACTTGTAAAGAGTTTTGACTGTAAAACAAAATTAAACTCATAATGCGAAAATCTATTTTATTGAGTCTTATTAAACTAAATTAATATTGTGAAAGTAAGAAAATTTTCATATAAAACACGTGTACATGTTTTCTCTTAAACCAACGATTGCAGAAACCACAATTAGGTTTTAAAATTAATGACCATGCTGAATGTTTCTAGAGAATCTTTAAACCACCATCGTTTTTGCTAGATGATACTTTTACAAAGTTTTTGGTTTTTTTCAACCAGCTTAAATCAAAAACCATAACCAGCTTCTTTGATGTAAAGTAGAGAGTTTTATACAAAGTTAGGCTTCCAATCACTTCAAAGTAGCAAAGTTTAGATCAAGCCACTCCTTTAACTCATACACCTAAGTGTAACATAATCATACTGTATGCCTATACGTTTTGATAAAATATAAAGGACTAACTACAATCAAAATTGATTAGTATTGTTCTAACAGTTTGCTTAACTTAGTCTACGTATGAATTAATTTACAAATAAATAATACATTTTCATCAAATTCAAAATGTATGCAAGTAATAACAAAAGATGCAGTCAGTATTTTAATTTGTATTTGATGTCGGGGGCTTTAAGAGCTCATGATGTTCTGATGTTCTCGATATGACTGGATGTTTTTCTCTTGGTCTTGTTACTATTTAAAGCTGACATTTGGCTAACCAGCGCCTTTTATGAACTTTCGTAATAATTAGTGTACAGGTTATTATTGATTGTTATAACATCAGGGCTATGACAGATATAGTATGTATTCCTGGCTTTGCACCGTTCCTTAATACAAAGGTAAAAAGGTGCACAGGCTAAATTAGACAAACGCAATAAATCAGCACTACATTTTATAAAAAAATAACCCACTGTTAAATATATAGTACAGCTTCAGCATACAGATTTTACCACCACCATAACCTATTACCCCGTTAAAGACTAGTAAAGACTTAATCTTGTAAGTGTAACCTAGGTGAATCCTTCCCGAATATATTGGGTGAAGTGAATAAAAAGTAGTACATACTACGTAGTTCGTACTACGTAGTTCTAGCACTTGCTCAAATCTAGGTGAATAAGAATTAGCTAGAACTAGGTAGTAAGTACTAGGGGTTCCCTAAATGATGTAGTATGTACTACCCTCTTAGTACGTACTCATAATCAAGACAGAACTGGCGCGCGGCGATAATCTGTTTGCCATTTCTGTCTGCACCTGCAGTTTTCTCAGTCGTGTTGATCAAATAGCCCTAGTAACTGCGCTTGACGACAATTTTTATGGCGTTGGCTAGGTATTGCAAGAGGGTGATAGGGCTTTAATATTGATTAGTGAGCTGCGAAAAAAACATTTCTATTACTTTGATAAATCTAAATTTCCGGGTGTAGTAAAGGGGAAAACAGTGTGTTGAAAATGTTAGATGATACAAAAAAAAAAAACTCTTGGTAAGGATTTTAACAGATAACATGAAAAATGCGATGAAGAAAAAAACGAAGAGGAATGTTAAGGGAAATAAACCGACTAAGCTTAGAGAAGGAATTGAGATCTGATAGGAGAAAATGAGAAGGAAAAAAACTTGTTGGTAAACAAATCAACAATATCATTCTCAAATCATAGTACTGTAATTGCTTACAGTTAACAATATTTCTTATTTCAAGGTACCTTTTTCTGTTATGGACTTGGAGAAACATCGCCATCTTCGCAAACGACCAAACTGAAGCATGCCCATGAGCGTACTACATAAAAATGAAGTAACTACTATGCGGGCCGGTTTTTATTCACCGAAAAAGCCTAGTAGATACTACGTTCCCTAAATGACGAAGTATGTACTAGGGGTAGTACGAACTAGCATTTTATTCACCTGCAAGATGTAGTTTGTACTAGAGGCTAGTATGAACTAGCATGTTTATTCACCGAAAACCGAGTAAATACTTCAAAAAGAAGTACGTACTACCAAATACTACCTTTTATTCACCTCACCCATTAAATTGCTTTTGATAAATGACATGTCAGAAAGTTCTCCCTACTCCTCTGAAACTACAACCTTAGATAACATATATTATGTTTGTATATCCGTACAGAGAACTTGTCTATCTTTATATATCTGTACAGAGAAATTGTCTATCTTTACATATCCGTACAGAGAAATTGCGTATCTTTATATATCCGTACAGAGAAATTGTTTATCTTTATATATCCGTACAGAGAAATTGTCTATCTTTATATATCTGTACGGAGAAATTCTCTATCTTTATATATTCGAACAGAGATATTGTCTATCTATATATATAGGCAAAGCCCTCACTGACTGACTGACTGACTCACTCACTCGCTCATCACTAATTCTCCTACTTCCCACTTACCTAGGAGGCTGAAATTTGGTACACTGATTCTTTAAGCATTAAATAGGAAAACTAAGTGGTTTTTATTCTGATCGGACTCTCGGGCTCCGCCCCAGTGGCTCTGGAGTTTCCCATGTTAACCTAATGAGTACTCATATTTAAATGGAATTAATGAATCATAACAGCTGTTTCAATTAAACAAGTTGGTTCTGTTCTATGATGTTCAATAGCATTAAAGTTACAAGGATTACCAAAAGAGTGCAGCACTATTATTTTTTTTTAATATTTGAAAACAGCTAATTTGAAACCAAAAGGTGAGTGAGCGTAGCGAACGAACTTCAACCCGGAGGCGAGGTAGCGTAGCGAACGAGCTAACAGAGAACTTATCTATCTTTATATATCCGTACAGAGAACTTATCAATATTATTTATATATCCATACAGAGAACTGATATTGTTTTGCTTGATTTTAAAATATACCTGTAGTCGTACCTTAACTTATTTTAGTCTTATGGTATATTGTGTAGTCTTATTCTTATTTCAAGGTTGAAAAAGTAATCAATTCTCCTCTCCAAACTAATTCCTGTATATGAATTTGAAAAAATAACAATTTAAATAGTTCAGCAATCTTTAAATTTAAACACGTTGAGATGTCTCACCTTTAAAGACGGCACGAAATTATACGACAAGATTCATACTATCATCACATACAGTTTCAAACATTTTACGATCAATTGTTAAATGTCACAATTATTGGAAAAGTTTATTCATCATCAAATTTCCATTTTTAACTGTGCCTCCTTTCAAAGGTAAACTGTAGGTATGGAATTATACAACAAGATTCATACTAACATCACATACAGTTTCAAACGTTTGACGATCTTAAGAGTTGCTTTGCGTTAACATGAAGACGTTAATGACAAAGTTAAGCGACGTGTAAATGATAATGACTGAGTTTACAATACATAAACACAGACAGATAGACACGTCGAGTTCAGCCGAGCGTTAGTGAGATAATGATGTAATCCAAAAATTAATCTACATTTATTAAACTCGTTGTTTTGGGCTAATAAAAACAATTGTACAATGAGTATTCTAAAACATACGCTTAGCTTTTGTTAAGTTTTGTTTACATAGTGTCGTCAAACACTGAGCAATGAAATCGTGCTGAATATTTTAAGTGAAATTATTTGGGAAATTTCTTTATCTAAGAAGCATAGTTAGGACTAGTAAGTCCTCTACTACGTAACCCAAAATGCTGCTTATATTAGACAGACATTTTGCAATTGAAAATGTGCTATATCTAACTTGAAATACAGGGTGTCCCGGAACTCTCTACCAATATTTTAGGGCATTGCTCCTGGGTAAGAAACATACCTAAATATCATATTTAAATTGTCAGGAAGCCCTTAGTTACTCACACAGCCGCCATTTTGTTTTTTCAGTTATTAATTTTTTTCTAAAGAAAGGTTAAACATACGAAATGGAAACTTTTCACAAACATTTATGACAACTAGACAAAGTTACAAAAAAATTGTGACGATTTTTCAAATTCACAAAACAAAATGCCGGCCATTTAAAATTTTTATAAAATCAACGGTTTTTGAGTTAATAAAGAAACAAAATTTTAAATTGCCACCATTTTGTTTTATGAATTTGAAAAATCGTCATAATTTTTTTGTAGCTTTGTCTAGTTGTCTATAATCTTTGTGCAAAGTTTCCATTTCGTATGTTTAACCATTCTTTAGAAAAAAATTAATAACTGAAAAAAACAAAATGGCGGCTGTGTGAGTAACTAAGGACTTCCGGATAATTTAATTATGATATTTAGGTATGTTTCTTACCCAGGAGCAATGCCCTAAAATATTGGTAGAGAGTTCCGGGACACCCTGTATGTTAACAGCTTACTATTATCAATAAAATTCAACAGTATCAGTAACATTTTATAACAGTTATCATACTGTATAACATCAGTAGACATTTCGTTGAACATTTAGTTATTAGTAAATAGTAGCATCTTAAGATTTTTCTGTACTAATGTCTGAGAACCTGCAATAAAGATGTAAGGGGTTGAGATTACACCCATATTTAATAGATGTTTTTACGATTTTAGGAATAATTGAAGTCTATACAATACAAGCCACACAATTATTATTCATTAATAATAAACCACACACTTATGAATTGCATTTTTGCACCGTTGTTATAAAACAACAGTTTATTAAAACATTACCATCCAATCGTTTTCCAAGAACACAAGTAATATTTATAAACATTTAAGTGGATCTAATGAATTTTAAAAATGCGCTGAATCTCTTAGATACACTTTGCATAAAAGACTGAAAAACAAGCATTGTTGAAGTAGAAGAGGGCAACTTAGCCCAGGTTATGTTGATAATTAACTACAGACATGGCTGTAAGCTGCTTTGCAAGCCAAAACGATACTTTGGGCGGTTCTCTTTTGTAGCAAGTTCAAGTTTGATTTTGAAGTTATACGTTCATATTATAATGATAAAATTCATTGTGTAAATAATGAGTGATTTACATTTTGACTATCTCTTTTTAAGGGACCAAGATTAATCGCAATTTATAGTAAAGAAATATAAGCAAAGTTATATAGAGTCCTACAATTTAGTTTTAATCTCAATATATGGGATTTAAGCTTTACTGTGTCATTAATGACAGTATTCCATAGAACAATATTATACAAATCAATATATTGTACAGATTTCTTAATTATTGGAGCAAAATATTATTTTCAACAAATAACCAACTAAAGAAGAAGAACTCTAACCTCAACAATATTCATGATCATGATGAATATTTAAATCATTTTAATATTTAAAATTCTTCAGTTATTTAGGATTTATGAAAAGAAAAAGAAAATGAACGATATAGTAACCTAGGTAGGCTCAAAGTGCGCGAATTCTCCTTATGTAGAGAAAACAAAATTAGGCTACCTTTAAATATTTCCACCGAGTTCCTAGTCTCAATGTAATGCATTTAATTCTTTCGACGTATTCAACCGTTGCATCTTTATGAATTTCACCAAACGATAATTTACAATCTGCATACGTATATACTTAAATATTTTACTTTGAAATGGCGAAAATACGAATGTAGGTATTTTAAGCCAAGTGGGGCGTAAATAGGGTAATATATGACTCACCAATAATCCAAGGGTGAAGAGTAACAAGAAACACTAGAGAGTAGAGGTGGCACATGGGCGGAAGCCGTGAGTGGATGGCAGAAGACGACGTCTTGGGAAGAGGGTAGCCAACTTGTAGGTTGAGTAGAGATGAGGGAAGTGTGCACACTTTTGGGGAACACTTGTGGGGAATCCAGTAATCCTAATCCACTAAAGTTGGCACTTGACACAGGCACTCGCGACGAAGACGCGGCGGACGTAACTACTTAGCGGCGACAGTGATAACGTACTAAATAACTTATTTAAGAAAAAAACACCTTTTACAGAGTTTGACGTCGAGAAAGTTTTATTAATTGTTCGTGACAAACGATAGAAGAGCGTTAGAGAGTCCGAGAAACGGTTTTAGAGGTAAAAGTTTATAAATAGAGAAAGACTAACGAAATACGGCGCAATGCACGTATTCAGCCGAGGAGAGTTACATTTCAACTGAACATTATTTTTGGAGGGGGAAGGGACGCTACCTCAATGTTTCTTAGAGGGGTACCGCAAATTTATCCATGTCCATATCACGCCACATTTTTTAACCAATAGGATTCGTCCTGCATCGGGCAACACAGCCGAGATAGTGTGTGTGTTTTATGTAGGCTTGTGTGAGTGAGACTCTAACATTCGATACAACAATACTTAATGAAATTGAAATGAGATTTAAAAATACAGATTTGGTTTGGAAATAAGCTATCACTAATTGAACAATAATTATGATGATAAATATAGTAATAATTAATTAAATACAGAACACCAAGTATGAGTGTAGGATGAGTGGCGAGATCTTGTAGTCTTGTTAGTGACTAATGCCAATATATTCCTTAGACACAGCTGTTAATTAATAGCCCATACAGCTAATGGCAACTAAGGTACCTACAGTTTATAGTGGAATCTAAACCGCATTTTTGCCTTGTAATTAACAAATTGGTCTAATTATCAGGATAGTACTGCGGATAGTCGTAGTACTCACTAGTGCGGGCGTTAATCCACACAAGGGAGTATCGCATCCACAGTGTATGCCTATAAATATCCACAGTAAATATTGAAAAAGTAAAAATCTACAATTGAATCTTCAAGTTATCTCCTTTCATTGAAGTTAGAACAACTATTTTGCATTTATTATTAAGATGGACATCTTTAAGCAAATCAACGTCACAGTAGTTCATCATAATAAACTGATAGATAAAATCCAAAGAAATATTTCATAAAAATCCTCCCATAAAGAGTGCTAGTAATCAAAAAGGATAAGGATTAATACTCATAATCTTAATAACAATGTAAATTTGAACATTATTGTATGACATTGGATCGGTTCCAAACTCATAAATTATTGTTCATACATATACTAATTGTTTATTTTTGAAAGTTTACTTTCCCCCATGTTTCAGAAGGCGGATGGGGACGCTGACAGGTCCAGGCTATATCTGGGCTCTTCTGTCTGTGGCGGCGGCGCTTTTGGCATGTTCTGGTTTTTACTTACCATTTTGGATACAGGTAATAATTTTAATACTAAAGGCCAATTTAGTTTCACAACTATTGTAACGTGTTTTATTGTCGTTGGTTTAAAAATGATCTATTATTACTAAAACATACGCAACAAATAGTCATCGGTAATCTAGCAAAATGATGCAAGCCCTGTCATATAATTTATTAATTATCTATTACTTGAGTCTAAACAATTTAAATTGAAATTTTGTAAGGTTTAAACTGAGTTTTAATAAATAAGAATTTAGTGTTAAAATTGATTCGGTGGAAATAATCTTTATTCAATAGATTAAATACAAAACCAAGAATACACCATGTACATTTCGGAAAGGACGACGGGTAACGGAACGTGATATTTCACAAGAATAATTAGATCCCTTCACTTTTTGACAGTGTCAGTTATTAACTATATTAAGACATTTTCTCTAAAATCATTTTTGTTCTATTTGAAACAAACGGACTCTTACTTATTAACAATATAATATCTCCACAAAATCTTAGGTTGTGTTTCTAGAGTTATAATCCCAGTCAATAGCAGATAATACATTCAATAAAAATTATCCCAAATAAAACCAAATAAAAAACGAAAAAAAAAATAAAAAATTAAGTGACCGATAACAAAATTTCGGCAGAGACAGCGGTTAGTTTGACATGATATTTAACTAAACTCATTAGCTTTATTCACTCCCTGGATCTGTGTCAGTTATTGACTAGTTATCCAGATTCCTTTTTGTTCTACTGAATTTGAAACTAACTAGGAAGGTCCCAGAAATTGTATTAGCACTGGATGGTACAAGTGATCAACAGTTAGCAACATGTAATCACAAAATATTTATGTAAATCTAATTAGAAATATTAAAACTGTACCCTTACTCATCCACAAATAGACTATCTCTATTATGTTTTAGGCTCAATTTTCTAGACTTATGATCCTGACATAATCAAATAATAAATTGTGAAGATAAAATCTTCCAGAAAGTTAAATTTTAAAACAAATATTGTTACTGAGAACAAAGTGTTGGGAGGTACGGTGATTAGCTGTGTAAGACATTTTACTAGACTTATTATATTTCTTCACTCCTTGACATGGGAAGGAAACAAACAAGAGACGTTCTTAAAATTAATATCAACATAACAGGGTAGACAACATACTCTTAGATAACGTGATGGACAAATATTTTCCTACTCTAAAAGGGCAATAAGTTATTTTTGAACATCTAAACAAATTACAGGCTACCCTCACTAATCCACAGATACCATATCCACTAAATGTTACATCTCATTCTCATTTTTGTTTTATCATGATACAACCCAGGAAGATTCTGGGAATTAATAAAGCAAAATATAAAAATTTCACCCTTATCCACAATCATGCACTAAATCGTACGCTGAGGAGTTATGATCTCTCGTCAGACTCACATATGTTGACGTTACATGATTGTATGTGCAGGGCCGTATTCTAGGGAGGGTGGATGCATACTTTAACAGCTTCCGTCGCTGCAACTACCCCCGTCTCGGGCCTCAGGGGATCGTTGAGATCGTGACGCAGTGCGCTAGATACTCCAGGTAATTCTAGATGTACGTGGCAAAATTATTGAACAGCCATTTCTCTATTTCAAATGATTTTGCATGAACAAAGAAGACTCGTTAAAGACTGGATGGTTTGTTGTGGTACTAGTTTCACTTTCGTAAGACAAGAATATTAAACATATTGTTGTTTTCATAACTAGAGTTGAAAACGTGTGATAATGAAAACAAGGTATTTTTACAACTTGATAAAATTTACTTCCATACCACCTTGTTGAGGAACGAGCTTACCAGTAGAGCGGGGGACTAAGGTCTCTAAGGTCCTGGATTCAAATCCCACTAAATCACCAATGGGTTTTATCCAAGTAAGTGATAATGCCGCTACCCTATAGGTCTAGCCTGAAGTAATGTGAAAACGATGCCGGGCTGTGATGAGATTTCCATTCTTCTCAATATTATAATATTCCATAATTGTACAACCATGACTAATGTACATTACAAAATGAGTATAACAGTGATTTTGCAATGTGAATGGTCCCTAGGTGGAGAGATATCCCCAGTGGTTGGTGGCAAGCCTCTACAGTCCTCGTAGGGGTGGGCTCCGCCCTCGCCCTCATGTTAGGGGTCGTCGCCTTGTCAGCGTGTTTCGTGGAATACATAGTACACGCCGCCACTGCTCGACTGGCTGGTGGACTTCAACTTATAGCAGGTACTGATGGCGAGAAACACGGGTATAGCGGAGAAAATGTTTACTATATTATTCTTGAAGGATTAGTGATTTATATTTTCAATAGAACCTGAGTAATACCGATTTTGGAATCAGGAAATTAGCGTTAGCGCCCGACCACTTACGTACAATGAACTAGAGTAGGTGAGCAGGTGTTTGATGTTAACAGGTTAAAATATAATTATTCATAATTTTTGTCATTACCAATTGAGATGGGGATTACCTAGGTGCGTATTTATGAGTGAAGGATGAGTGTAGAACGGATTGAGATTATATCTGTAGCTTTGTTAAAGACTAATATCAGCTGTCATCCACCAGGATCATTTACAGCCCTATGATCAGGGACAGCTGGGTCTAGTTTCGAGCCGTCAAAAAGCTTACCTTTCTCAGGCAACCTTTCGATTGTTAGGCTAGGCTAGCTTGTTTGCTTGTTATTCAGTTGATTACTAATTTATCAGGTGGTGGTAAGCTAACACTGACTGGCCTAACTAATAGATCATGTGTACGTATGTATTTGGTGATTAAAATTAATAAGGTAGAGCCATGGATATTAGAACGGCAACTGTATGGATCATAAACATAGCAAATTGTCGTCACTGACGCAAAAGTAAACCTGTTTGTATTATTTAAAACAATAGTTGATCCATAGAGAATTACCCAAACGGTTATCATTGATACAATATAATACCAAATAGCTCATGTACTTGTACGGCTTAAAAGCTTCCATTCTGAGGAATTGTGTTAGTTAAATAAAACCAATTCTCTAGAGTGACTGGGGATTTTCATACAATCTAAGTTAATTTTCAAAATTGTCCCAGCTCGCTTGGTGAGACAGCTCAACCCATTCAAAGTGTTTGTATCAGAGTAAAAGTGTAAAATATTCTTGTATTAGTTATGTAATTATTTTAAAAATTGCTATCGGAATATTATTGTTATTAATAATAAAATTCAACTACTGTACCTTTTGTGAAGATTTTAGAAAAAAACTGTACATAACAACCGTACATTCAAACCAACAATCGTTTAATTTAATAGTTCTGTAAAGAAGCAAAAAAATATGGAATGATTTATCATGAGTTCTTATTTATTTTTGCATAGCATTGCAGACCGAGTTAAACAAATAAAATAACCTCCTTGATGAAAATTTATTTTCACATTTTTTACGAATAAAAAATAATATGATGTGACAATAACATATAGAAGGTTAATAGAAAAGTAAATTTTAAATTTCCCATGTTTAAAACGGGATTGTATCACTTGTGATTATAAAGGCTTTCGTTTAATAAATTTTACATGATCATGAGTACGAAACTAAATTGAAATATTGTTTGCTTAAACATATATATATTTTATCACTTACATTGTGCTATTGTTCCCTACTAACTTGTGCGTATACTAACAGGTTTACGTTAAGAAACTTTATATATATGTATCATGAAAATTAAGTTGGGGTTCACTACGTCTCGGTAATTTGACTGGGTAAAGTACATATGAATAAATAAATGTAGGCTGACCTTCAAGGACCTGATTCACATAACCTATTTAAATTACTTGATAGCTATCCTTATGAAGACGGGAGTTATCCCAGTCAATGCAGTAGTTCTGTCCCATTTATTGTGTTAAATAGCCGAAAATGTTTGATAGTGTAGATTAAAACCATGAGCTGGGTAACTTGAGGGCGATACAGGGGTGGGGAATCGGAGGTATTCTAATCATATAAGACTAAGTAATATAAATAATGTATGTCTTAGGCAAGGAATACTATCTCTGCAGAGGTCGCCTGACTACGAAATCGACAGCTTTTTGCTATAGACTATGTAGTATATATTAATGGCTTTACAGTATCCGTGAATGTTTGATGTTAACAGGTATACTCTTGAGTGGTGGACTGCTCGTCTATCCTCTAGGCTGGGACAACAGAGAAGTAATGGACTGTTGTGGACCCTTCTCACAAATGTACAGCTTAGGTAAGCAGCGTTCCGTACTTTCATTGCCGTCACATCTATATCGAAGTTCGGTAGAAGAGGTTTTACTATGTATAACAATTAAACTTATTATAATTAATGTAATATTCAAAATCTGGCTTCTCCTAATTCTACCTCTGATTTACATTACAAATCCTCAAAATCTCACAGCATTGTATAAAAATAAAACTCATTCTTAAGCATCACATATCATTACATAAATAGCCATTTTCAAGACTGTTCATTAAAATTTAAACATGTTTTCTCAGGGAACTGCAAGCTGTCCTGGTCACTGTATCTCCTAGTGCTCGCCGTTCTTCTCTTGTTCGCCTGCTTCGCCATGAGTCCATTTATCTCCAAGGTCAACTACTGCTGTTATCCAAGGTCGTGACACTGACTGTTGGTGGACCCTCCCTCCAAGAGGTACCTGGAGACTTCCACACAGCTTTAGTGGACGTCTATGACATCAATGACAGCATTAAACTCAGACATCTACTCAAGATCATTATTGCTTTTACCCTAAGAGGTGCTACTGACAATTGGTTGATCTTCCTTCCAAGAGGTACCTGGAGACTTCCACACAGCTTTAGTGGATGTCTATGACATCAATGACAGCATTAAACTCAGACATCTACTCAAGATCATTATTGCTTTTACTCTAAGAGGTGTTACTGACCTTTGGTGGACCCTCCTTCCAAGAGGTACCTGGAGACTTCCACACAGCTTTAGTGGATGTCTATGACATCAATGACAGCATTAAACTCAGACATCTACTCAAGATCATTATTGCTTTTACTCTAAGAGGTGTTACTGACCTTTGGTGGACCCTCCTTCCAAGAGTTACCTGGAGACTTCCACACAGCTTTAGTGGATGTCTATGACATCAATGACAGCATTAAACTCAGACATCTACTCAAGATCATTATTGCTTTTACTCTAAGAGGTGTTACTGACCTTTGGTGGACCCTCCTTCCAAGAGTTACCTGGAGACTTCCACACAGCTTTAGTGGATGTCTATGACATCAATGACAGCATTAAACTCAGACATCTACTCAAGATCATTATTGCTTTTACTCTAAGAGGTGTTACTGACCTTTGGTGGACCCTCCTTCCAAGAGTTACCTGGAGACTTCCACACAGCTTTAGTGGATGTCTATGACATCAATGACAGCATTAAACTCAGACATCTACTCAAGATCATTATTGCTTTTACTCTAAGAGGTGTTACTGACCTTTGGTGGACCCTCCTTCCAAGAGTTACCTGGAGACTTCCACACAGCTTTAGTGGATGTCTATGACATCAATGACAGCATTAAACTCAGACATCTACTCAAGATCATTATTGCTTTTACTCTAAGAGGTGTTACTGACCTTTGGTGGACCCTCCTTCCAAGAGTTACCTGGAGACTTCCACACAGCTTTAGTGGATGTCTATGACATCAATGACAGCATTAAACTCAGCCATCTACTCAAGATCATTATTGCTTTTACTCTAAGAGGTGTTACTGACCTTTGGTGGACCCTCCTTCCAAGAGGTACCTGGAGACTTCCACACAGCTTTAGTGGACGTCTATGACATCAATGACAGCATTAAACTCAGACATCTACTCAAGATCATTATTGCTTTTACTCTAAGAGGTGTTACTGACCTTTGGTGGACCCTCCTTCCAAGAGGTACCTGGAGACTTCCACACAGCTTTAGTGGATGTCTATGACATCAATGACAGCATTAAACTCAGCCATCTACTCAAGATCATTATTGCTTTTACCCTAAGAGGTGCTACTGACCGTTGGTCGATCTTCCTTCCAAGAGGTACCTGGAGGCTTCCAAACAAATTTAGTGAACGTTTATGACATCATCACACTCAGTCATACATTCCAAATCAAAAACTGTTCTTACCCTAAAGAGTGCTACTGACAATTTGTGAACATCCTTCAAAGGAGCAAATAAAATTCTGTGCACAGCTACCTGCAGATGGGTGTATAACATGAATGATAAGGCCAAACTCAGTAAATTGCTTTAAGATTTTTACTTTAAACTTTTCAAGATCAAGCCACTAATTGTTGTGGAATATCTTTGCACTCTGGCAAGGATTCTTTAATCTAGAAAATGTTTATATGACTTTATTACATATTTAATTTTGTGCTAATAATCTACGATTTACTCGTACAAGGACGTCTATAATATCGATGTTAACATCATACTCCAAGAGTAATTCTTCATGCTATCCAAGCTCCTGTTACCAACCATTGGGCCTTCCTTCTAAGAGGTCTTTGAGGGCTTCCACACAGCTCCAGTAAATTTTCTTGATATTTTTGGCATCACACTTTAGCAGCAATTAATTACTGTATTGCTGCCTCTAATGTCATTCTAACCACCAACGAATCATGATGGATCTTCCCTCCAGCTTGGAAACCTCTCGAATGGTTTTGCAAACCAAAGAGCTCTCTGTCACTGAGCAGCTGAATTGTTTCGGAGTTGTTTTCATACAATGTTTAATATATGAGTAGACCTCTTAAAATTACACTACACAAGATCAACTAAACCGTATTCATCGAAATGTTTTGTTTCCAATATCAATTACTGGACGTATTTCAATGGAAACATATATCAAAGAACAATAACTGCTACTATTCAAGAGTGTGCCACTGTTTTGGGCCCTCCTTCCAAGAGGTAGCCGAAGACCTAAACTCAGCCTTATTGGACGTCGCAGTATGAAGAGCAACACCCTACAAGTTTACCTAGACCTACTCACATACAAGGTCGAGCCAGTCGACTAACATCATGGTGCAGGTTTTCAGGGAACCTTTTCACCATGAAAATGTGTAGATATCCTATAAATATTAGACTAGTTAGGTAAATCATAGATCACATTATTGTAAACTTTCTACCAAACTTAAAAAGGCATCATAGTTTTTATACAAAATACAAGTTTTTGTATATTTTAGTTTACCGAATGAAATGCTTATTAACCTTACGTCAAAGTCAAATCTGTAAAATATGTATAGTGTGTATAGTGCATACAGGTCAGGGTAGTATTATACATCGATGGGTAGAATCCAGAAGTTGTATTAATAGTCAAAGATAGAATATAATGTGGACCTGAATTTACTGAAGAAATACTTTTCAAGAATTTAAACTTTGTTAAAACTGTGTATGAAATGTAAAAACTACGATAGTATTTTTGTAAAAATGACAGTAATTTATTATGGAATCATATTAAATGTAACTACAGTATATTTTTGTGTCTTTGTATTGGACCTTTTTTCATAATGGGGATAAAAAAAGGGGGGTCTAAATATAAAAATAGCATTTTTTAATTTTACATTTAATATCATACTCACGACTTGTAATAAAAACAGAACAACGAATTAAATTTTTATTGTCATCAATAATGAACCTAATGCCTAACATGAATGGTAAATATTTTTAAATACTTAGGAGTTTTACATACAAGCTACTTGCAGTAAACCTTTCAAAAACGATTGTTGGGATATGGTAAAATGTAGTAGTATACATAGTGTTGAAAAATAGTAGTTTACGCAACGATTGCGTTAAGTTGGTCTTTAAGACACGAGTAGAAAATTTAAGGCACGAGCCTTGGTGACTATTAACGCGAGTTGCGTACACTACTTTACCTACGACAGTTTTTTAATTACTAATGAATGATTATAGTGAAAGAGTAAATTTACAGTTAGATCTCAGCATCGAATATTATAGAATATTATAAGCAGTTTGTGCTCTCACTTCACTTTCACTAAATGACATTTTTTTAAACAGTTTAGTCTACCTTCCTTTAACTTCCACCAACTTAGGTTAAGAATACGCGAGTATCAACAGGAACAAGTAAGATCAACAATTAAAATTGTCAACTGATCAGCTGATCAGCTGATTAGTTGACGTTCGAAGCATTACAATTTTAATTCTTTTCTCTCAATACTTGAACCTCATTGGTCCGTTACCTGTGTTGATATGAGAAAAACTATGTTGATATGAAATGAAACTATGCTGATATGAAAGTAAACAGCTGTTAAGTGAAACTTTTCAATTCTAAGAACTGAACTGAAATGGCTACTTTAAAAACGGTCGTAGGTAAAAATTGTTTACTCAATTTTTAGCTGTATGGTTCCGGGATATATCCGTTTTGAAATCATATTAGCCAATCTCTGAACCATCGAGCAAGGCGTATGACAGGTGACAGATGACGAGTGAGGAAACGAGTTTTATGCTAATGCCTCAACGTTATAACAAATGTATGGCTTTCCAAAACGGGGTTGCGTTATAGTTGGTGAAGTTTGTAATAACACCCTTAACTACTCTTAACTTTTTGTTTGATTTTTATTTATGTCTAAAATTAGTTATTTGAATCTATTAAAAAAATCGAATTCCATCAAAAGTATCCATATTTTATAGGAGCAGGGTACTATCTTGGGCTAGAAATTATATCAGCATCTTTCGTTGGTAAATTAAATACACCATTGGATTCCTACATCAATTCTTTGTGGCAGACTTAACTACATTCCATTACTGAAAAAGATATCGTTGAAAAACATCATTTTGTTTTGAAGTAGTGGGAAACTACGAGCTAATAGTTAGTTGGTAGTTGTTAGTAATAAGTAATAGCTCTTAGTAGCGTAGTAAGTAGTTAAGGACGTGTGTACCTTTACCATACGTCACCGGCTTAAACCTAAAGATGTTAAAAATCAAAAGAAAATTAAGACGTAAACCTTTTTTCATTTCTTTTGCTTCACGTTTTCCTACACACGATAGTAATCGTGTAGGATAGTAATCTTGCAAATAATACTGCGTCACCTAGCTTTCAATATATCAACACACTATCAACTAAAATCAGGATCACGCTTCAAAGAAGAATCATTTGATTATTTGCGGTAGCAAAGCTTCTGTTTTGTAAAATATATTGCCAATAAACTGTTAAATACATTGCATTAAGTCTATCCACAAGATAAATTACCATCGCCTAAAATTTGGATTCTTATTTATTACCAACCAAATAGTTGATGGGAGACTTTTACCTAATTTTATAATATCTAAACCTACCAATTATACCTAAACCAAAATGGGCATTACACAATAACATAACCATAATAACAATAAATAAATAATAATGAATAAAAAATCATAAATAACATTAAATAAACAATAAAAAATAAATACTAGCTGTTACCTTTGACTATTAATACAACAACTTTCGTTTTTGTTCCAATTTTTTTCCTATAGAAAGCTATTTACTAAAAGGTTCTATGAATGTAATAAGTTACAAACTGCAACTAATGACATGACAAGAGAACATGTTACAGCCCAGACCCGCAATATAAAAACATTGACACTAGCAGGCAGTTATTGTTTTACTTTTCCCTACAACTCTCTAGTGGCTTTGGACTATAACAAATTAATAAAAATTTCTCTTTATTTCGGCTGAAACTCAAACTTTCTTCTTTTCAAAC